GATGCCTATTGGCTACACCTATTGTCTTTACCTATTGCCTACCACTACAATGAGGACCAGTCTATTACGGTTACTTGCTAGATTATCCTACCCGGTTACAGTAGTCCACAACCACTTTGCTACTTCAAACAAATATATCCCTTTCCGGGACATATTAATTATAAATATCAACTATTTATATTGGCTATATTATGTTTGTCTTATTAAAATTCATGCCTAATAAGCTTTTATATATATATATATATATATATATATACCAAAAGTATTGGAATGGCAAGGCCAATTCCTTTGTTTTGTTGTTCACTGAAGAGATTTGGATTTATGATCAAAAGATGAATTTAAGACAAGAGTTCAGAATTTCAGTTTTATTACATGGTATTTACATTTGTTTTAAGCCACCAATTTTTCAAGTGAGCAGAACTATTAGAACACATAGCTTGTTGCTTATTGTCCACCTGTTGCCTTTTAAATTAATTGTTCAAACATTAAATAGCTCTGAATGACTACTCTTGGTTTTAGCCTTGGCTTTCCCGTGTAAAGTTTACTGCATTTCTTGTTAAAAAGGATAAAATAATTTGAATGTCTATGGGAGATAAGAAAGCCATTTTGAAGCTGAGAAAAGAATGAAAATTGATCAGAGCCATTGGCCAAACATTGGGCATAGCCAAAACATCAGTTTGGAATGTCCAGAGAAAGAAACAAATTACTGGTGTACTGAACAGACATAGAACACAGTGACCAAGGAAAACGACAGTAGTTGATGACAGAAACATTGTGAGAGCTGTGGGAGAAAACCCCCAAAATAACAGTCAGTAATCTCACCAACAACCTCCACAGTTCAGAAATGAAGATTTCACAATTCACCATTCAAAGAAGACTTTGAGAACAGAAATGCATGGGATATACCACAAGATGTAAATTACTCATCAACTGTATAATTCAAAAGGTCCAGATTGGAATTTACAAGGATGAGTGACAAAAGTTATGAAAGAAAGTTTTATGAACTGATGAGATCATCCCTAGCTAAGTGATGGAAAGGTCAAAGTGTGGAGAAAGAATGTATCTGTTTATGATCCAAAGCATACAAGTTCATCTGTGAAGCATGATGGAGGCAGTATCTTGGTTTGGGAATTCAGGGCTGCTTCAGAAACAGGCTCATTCATATTTATTGATAATGTAACTCATGATGGTAGCAGTAGAATAAATTCAGAAGTCTATAGAAATATTTTGTCTGCCAATTTACAGAGAAATGCATCCAAACTAATTGGGTGGAAGTTTATCAGCAGGACAGCACAACAAATGAGAGTTTTAGACTGGTTAAGTCAATCATCAGACTATAACCCAGTAAAACAGTAGCATTTCATCTCCTGAAGAGGGTACTGAAGGAAGAAACCCCCAAAACAAACAAGAACTGAAAGTGGCTGCATTAGAAGTCTGGAAAAGCATCACAAATGAAGAATGCAACAGTTTGGTGATGCCAATGGATTGCAGGCTTGATGCACTTATTGCAAGCAAGGGTTATGCAATCAAATATTAAATGTTATTTACATTAAAACTATCTGTTCCTTTACTTTTGCTCACCTACAATTAGGGTGACCTAATACAAAACTTTTTTAACACATCTAAATAGAAATACCAGGAAATTAAAGCTGAAATTCTGGACTCTTGTCTCATTTTCATCTTTTGATCTTAAATGCAAATGTCTTCAGTGAACAAAAACAATGGAACTGGCCTTGTCATTCCAATACTTATGGAGGCACTGTATATATATATATTCTTTTTTACTAATATTTATTTATATAATTTGTCTAATATATAACTAAATCTATAATTAATTTAAGCAATGCAAGTGCATATATAAAATGTTATAAAATGATGCTCAACGTTTAAATTTAAATTTTGAATTCTGATGCATGTAAATTTTAAGCTTGGCCTAAATTATTCAGCTTTTTATTGCATTTATTTTCTGAATGAGAAAGGCTAAGTTTGAAATTTAGATATATTGTACATCAAAATTTAAAATTTGAGCATCTCTGTATCATTAACATTTCTCTATATACTGTAGTCCATATTTATTGTACTTTTCTCTTTTTGTATATAGGATTGGTTTCATCCATAAACTCATTGTCTGAAGACGTAAATTTAGAACAAATTGTGTCACCAGACACTTTTCTGCTTTGTCATTTGTTGATGCTATCAGACAGATTTTCTTGTTGGTAGATTAATTTCTCTATCTTGGTGTTAAAGGTTTATAAAAACTGCCCAAAGTTCATGTTGGTTTGTTTAAAGGTTCTAAACATCCAAATTATCAAGAATGACAGAAATTAGATGAAATTCAGGATCCTTTTTGAGATAATTTTGGGTTGATTTGAATTTTATGTTTTGAATGTTTGTGATACTACAAATATGCCTGTGCACGCATATGCAACAGAGATTGGTTAGTTTCCATAGCTGGCTGGTGTACCCAGAAAATGAGTAGCCAGCCATTATATATATATATATATATATATATATATATATATAAAGTAGAGAGAGACTAAAATACCTTTCTTAAAAGTTTTATGTGATCTAAATACAACTTTTTTGTACCTTTCTGGTCAGATGAATTGGTCTTATCTGAAGAAGGCTTCTTTATGTCCAACACCAAATTTACATAAAGTGAAAAATTCATCTAACAAAGCTGAGAAATAATCCATAAAAGGTAATGAACATAATCCTTTTTCTATGTGCCATGTCCCTTGAGGATGTTGTCAATCATGTTTCTCCACAATTTCCTGTCTTTTGTAACTCTTAGTAAATTTTTCCTTTCTGTTAACCCTGTTCAGTCATTCATTTATCTTGTTAACATGAATTTAGCTTCTAAGTATCACCTTTGAAAAGAAAATCTTAAGTTTATTTTCAATTTAATTATTTTTTTTCTTATTTAATGATTTTATTGTTCACTTACAATCAATGTGGAAGAAATAGAAACATACTTTTTTATAACAAAAAATACATAATTTTTATCTAATTCAAGCATTTGGTGTATTAAGTTGATATGATATAAAATGTTATATTTACATTGAACATTTCATAAAAATACAGTATGTAGGAAGAAATTAAACCTTAAATTAACAATTCTACCTTATCTTTCTACAAAGTGTCATAAAACAAATCAATTGCTTTAATTGTTTAGATTCAGAATTTATTATTGAATTGAAAACATATTCTACCTTCCAAACAATGACACAATGTGGATAATAGAAAATAAAATAGAAATAAAAAAAGGATTTAAAAAAAAACAATATACTTTTGTCTTAACAAAGTTAAAAGGCTGATATTTGTTTATTTTAAAAGAAAATGCAAAAAAGGTTTGTTGATATTCTCAGGGTAAATAAACAAGTATATGAAGTCGCTACTACAATTTCTAATCCAGTATCTTTTCACTTGTATATTTTATTTCAAAAGGAAAAATTAAGTGACTACAAAACTTTAATCAAACATAAGTATTTATTTATATGTAAATGTTGGATGCAAATTGAAAGTTCATAAAAATATATGTATTCTGAGTTTTAAACTTACTTTAATTTTAACAAAACCAATTAAATACTTGCATTATTTACATTATTTGGACTGTTATCCTCATCTTCCATGTGTCCTTGAGGACACTGGATAAAGACGTTGGTTAGATCCAGTGACTAGATAAAGATAGTGGATAAAGATGCCTTTATTTACTGGCATGGCCAAGTGGATAAGGACATTAGTTAGATCCAGTGACTGGACCCAAAGAGTTGTGAGTTCAGTACCAGGCTACAGCAGTGGTGAGTCAAAAACCTTAGAGAGTTGAATTAAAAGGAAATAACTAAGACATTCATAAGAGGCATAGCATGTGGGACTAGAACAATCTGCCCTGGTTGATGAAATAAAGGATTTGGTTCAAAATTCCAATTACCTGAAGAAAGCTGGAGCATACAGCAGCCAAAACGTTGTGAATATTGCAATGAAGATGAGGATAACAGTCCAAATAATGAAAATAATGTAAGTAATCCTCATACCTCATCTCAGAGATATAGACAGTCAAGTAAATACTATGACTATAAAAAGGAAGGAATTGGAAATATTTTTAAACCTTTATCAAATTGGTATAAAGCAATATAGATTCATTTAAAAAGATTGTTCTTTCCTTTAGTTTAAAGTCATTGTTTTCTTTCTTTTATATGAGAGTTTATTAAAAACACTCAGCATTCTAACAAGTCTGATCTCACAATTGTCAGTCAGTTTCTTAATTGCCTGAAATTAGTGGAAACATATTAATTTTTTTTATATATTTGTTATAATGAGTGTATGGCTTCAAAGGAAAGAACAAACAAGGATTAAAGTTTCAACAGTTTGTATTAATCAATTTTCAGAATATAGACATAGTTATGTGAAAAGGTGACAAAATTGATGATATATGGATCTTTAGTTGCCATTGTAAGAGAAGCAATTAGGTGTATGGCTGTGTGTGGGTGGTAAATCAGTTATCAGTTGACCAAAGTGATGGTTGGTGTCAGGAGAGAGGCCTGGAGAGGATTAGTGAATCTGTGTGGTAGTACAAGTGGGGTGTCATTGGCAGGGTTGATCCATGTATCTTCAGGATTGAAATCGACACCAGTTTGGTGTGTGGATGGGCTGGCAAACTTTTGACAAGGTGTTGAGCCAAACTGCCTGTTGCCAGTGAAGCATGCATTTTTATATCTATGGTGCAGGCTCTCGGGCTCATCATTTTTTTTTTTTTTGGTGGCAACATCAGTGATTGACTATTGTATTTTAGATTTTTCTTTTGTTTTGAGGGCCAGATGTGATACTCAGAGCACCCATGCAGAAAACAACTTTTTTATTTTCTGTTTTGCTTTCTTAGCACCTACATCCAGCCAACATGTCTAGTGAAATGCATTTGTGAATCAGAAAGAGATCTTGATTAAAATAGTTTAGCATATTGTTCAGAACAGAAAAAGGCAAAGAAGAATCAAGTTTCTTACCTTTACATACAACATCCTCTCCAGACCAGGTACCATTTTCCTGACAAACACGCAATTTGGAACCATGTATTTTGTAACCCTTTAAGCACCTGACTCTACATTTTGTACCTGCTTTCAAATCATTTCCATCTGAATAGAGACATCTTGGTGGTAACACTTTACCAAAATCAGGAGTTACCAGAGCATGACATGGTTTTGCTGCAAGATAAAAGGCAAGCATAAAGACAGGTCATGAATATAAAACTTATTAATATATTATTTGAATATGAATAATATGAGGGATAAATACTATATTACATAATTAAAAATTGTGCAACACTTCTTATAATGTTACAGAATTAACTGAAGCTTATGTTGAAGATGTGTAATTTTAGTGATAGACTAAGAAGATCTTAGGAATCATCTCTATGGTAAAACAAGTGAGTATGGTACTGTTTACTAGTGTAACTCTTTATTAAAGAAAGAAAATGAACAAAATTCCTTCAGTTTTAAAAATATCAAGACTGATTTATATTATAAATTTTAATTATACGTTATAAAATAGGAATTGAATATAGGTATAATTATAAAATAGGAATATAGGCATAATTATAAAATAGGAATGTAGGTATAATTATAAAATAGGAATGTAGGTATAATTATAAAATAGGAATGTAGGTATAATTATAAAATAGGAATGTAGGCATAATTATAAAATAGGAATATAGGCATAATTATAAAATAGGAATATAGGCATAATTATAAAATAGGAAATGTAAAATAGGAATATAATAATATAAAATAGGAATGTAGGTATAATTATAAAATAGGAATGTAGGTATAATTATAAAATAGGAATGTAGGTATAATTATAAAATAGGAATGTAGGTATAATTATAAAATAGGAATGTAGGTATAATTATAAAATAGGTATAATTATAAAATAGGAATGTAGGTATAAAAATATAAAATAGGAATGTAGGCATAATTATAAAATAGGAATATAGGCATATAAAATAAAATAGGAATATAGGCATAATTATAAAATAGGAATATAGGCATAATTATAAAATAGGAATATAGGCATAATTATAAAATAGGAATATAGGTATAATTATAAAATAGGAATGTAGGGAATGTATAATTATAAAATAGGAATGTATAAAATAGGAATATAGCATAATTATAAAATAGGAATGTAGGCATAATTATAAAATAGGAATGTAGGCATAATTATAAAATAGGAATGTAGGTATAATTATAAAATAGGAAATGTAGGAATAGGTATAATTATAAAAATAGGAAATGTTAGGCATAATTATAAAATAGGAATGTAGGCATAATTATAAAATAGGAATGTAGGCATAATTATAAAATAGGAATGTAGGCATAATTATAAAATAGGAATGTAGGCATAATTATAAAATAGGAATGTAGGCATAATTATAAAATAGGAATGTAGGTATAATTATAAAATAGGAATGTAGGCATAATTATAAAATAGGAATGTAGGCATAATTATAAAATAGGAATGTAGGTATAATTATAAAATAGGAATGTAGGCATAATTATAAAATAGGAATGTAGGCATAATTATAAAATAAAATTATAAAATAGGAATATAGGCATAATTATAAAATAGGAATGTAGGTATAATTATAAAATAGGAATGTAGGTATAATTATAAAATAGGAATGTAGGCATAATTATAAAATAGGAATGTAGGCATAATTATAAAATAGGAATGTAGGCATAATTATAAAATAGGAATGTGTATAATTATAAAATATGTAGGTATAATTATAAAATAGGAATGTAGGTATAATTATAAAATAGGAATGTAGGTATAATTATAAAATAGGAATGTAGGCATAATTATAAAATAGGAATGTAGGTATAATTATAAAATAGGAATATAGGCATAATTATAAAATAGGAATGTAGGTATAATTATAAAATAGGAATGTAGGTATAATTATAAAATAGGAATGTAGGTATAATTATAAAATAGGAATATAGGCGTAATTCTAAATAATGAATATATACTTGACTCTTGTGTAGTAATTTGGAACTATATAGTAACCAGGCAGGCATACCACCACAAACTAAAAATGGGGAGGATGAATTAAATGTTAAGTTTTAAAAATTCCTGATTGTATATTTTTTACCTGATCCTCTTATAAAATCAGTACTTTTTAGATTTATTATCCTATTGTAAACATTTTTTTGCTTTTCGCTTGTACTTAATTTCTGGAATGGATTTCAGTCAACACTTCTCCATTAATTACACATTATACAGTGAAAACTTCAGATCAAAATTACTTTACAAAACAAATATTTATTTTTCAATATAATCTGTTTTTGGTCGATGCACTTCAATCAACACTTGTACATTAATCACACAGATTGGATATCAAACAGTGAACATTTCAGATCAAAATTCAACTGTGTGTTAGTCTATGGATTTATTGATCCACTTTTATTTTTTCACTGCCTTTTTAAAATCCTTCCATAAACACACTTTAAATTTTTCTCAGTCTGAATTAAAGTTGTATCAACAGCAACCTATCAAGTTAATTAACTACCGAGACCTTCAACGTTTGAAAGCATTCAATACATACACTTGTATAATCGAATACCATAAACCGACAGTTACCTAGAAACAATATCAAAGCTTCCATGCAACTTTAAGAGGTACTGGGTAATGTAAGGATTGGTTCCAGTAACATTCACTGTAAACATTTTTGCCATAGGAAAACTCACTTCAGGAATTTTTGCCATAGAAAACTTTGCCTTATAGGATTTTTCTTGTAAGACAATTTTGCCACATCTTTTTTTAATATTCAAAGTACCTTGTTATCAAGTATACCTGGCTCACATTAGTGTTACTTCAATTTAAGTATTTTAATAAGTGAAGTTATAGGATCAAAATCTTACATCATTCATCCTCATCAATGAGGAGTGCAAAAATTTCAACTTGACACTAGAACCTACGTCACACAATTTTAGATTTCATACTTAACATTAAACTTTCTGGTAACATAATATCAGTCTGTCAATATTTCTCACTCAAGTAATATAATTTCAAACAAATTTACAATTTGAATACGCAACTGACTTCAATATAAAATATCTAATCAAAGTATGATGTTTGACCATGTAAATAAGACATCCATATATACTTGATAAAAAATACTTCACATATTAAATTGAATGTTACCCCAAAAGGAAAATTCACGGTAAGGGTATTGAAAAAAAAAAAAAATTTGGCAAATTTGTCTTATTGTAAAAATCCTATATGGTGAAGTTTCCTACAGAAAAAAATGTTTACAGCGAATGTTCTGGATACAGTAAGGATTACTGGTAAGTGATAAAGAATCTGCAACCTGGGTTTAATTTTTAACTGGGGCTGTTTATGTTATCTTTGCATTCAACAATCTTAGGAAAGGCATGAATCTGTATTTACTTTTGCTCTGTTCCATGACGAGATATCTTACCAGAAATGTCTCATTGCTGGCATGCCACAATGGTCAACAACAGAAAAAGTAGATAATATAAAGAACCTTTGTTCTAAAAGTTGATCTGTAGTGTTACCAATATGTAGTAGGCTCACTTTGAGATATATGCCAAAGTAAGTTTTGCACTCAATGTCACATGAGAGCATCAGAAGAACCAGGTGCATCAGAAAGTTGACCTTGAAGGTAACCTCACAACTCCCTAGAGTAAAATTGAACCTCAAACAATGTCATTGGATGCCCTGACATGTAAACAGGCGGTCAACCTAGTTTAGCTTATGATGTGCAAATGTAGGAAAACGGGATGACAAAAAGTCGTATAAATTAAATCCATTGCTAAGTCAGCAGCTAACAAAGTCGGTTCTCTGTGTCATGTGAGACAAATTTTCTCTTTGGAATCTACCCTACATATCTATGTCTATCATTCACCCTTGCTTAGAATATTGCTGCCACATATGGTCTGGTGCTCCAGCTATTTATCTAGAACTCCTTGATAAAATCCAAGGAAGAATCAGCAATATTATTGGTCCTGATCTGGTGGCTTGGCTTCAGTCACTTTTCCACTACTGTAAGGTTACCTCCTTGTGCCATTTCTATAAATACTTTCACAGTAATTGTTCAGATGAACTCTTTACTATGGTACCTAGATTTTTTAATTTAAGTACAGTACTAAACTGGCAACAATGTCTCATTAATTTACAGTTTTTGTTGGTTAGATGTAAATGTAATTTCTATGCTAACAGTTTCTTTCTTTGCACCATTTGTTTGTGGAACTCCTTTCCGGCTCAATGCTTTCCAGCCAACTTTAATCTTCAAGAATTTAAATGCAATGTCAATCACTATCCACTGTCCTCCTAATTACTCTTTTGGTCCTTGCTCATTAGTAATGTTTCTGTTTCTAATTCTTCCACACCCAGTAATTCCTTGTGCCTTAGTGACTTTACTGCCTTGCTTGAGGTGAACTCAGTAAAAAAAAAAAAAAAAGCACCTACCCAAAAAGGAAAAGAATTTTTTTTTACATCCTCACAAGAAGATCAGTATTCCAAGAAAGTCTCCTAAACCATAACAAACAATAATTTTACAAATGATTTAGTCTGGTGTTGTTTTAGTCTTTACAATGATAACATTACAATATAAATTAGTTGTTAAATGAAACAAAAACCTTAAGTTAATTTACCAATTCTCTGATTTTATATTTTACAGTCTTATCACAGGAACCAGGTTATGAGGTCATCTGATATGATTACACTGACTTTCAGAAATATTTAAAGAATGCAAGTACAAAGGAATGAAAACTGATTGACCTTAATTTGATTTTATTTTAATAATAAATTTAAAAATCTTACAAAGCTAAGAAGATAACTGGAGACTAAAGACAATTCTAGAAGATTTCCTTCAAATTTAATAAAAATTATTTTCATTCAATTTAATAATATGCACTTATCATTTTAATATTTATAAAAAAAATTATAAAACTTGTAGAATTAGCACACTCAGCATAATAAAGTATATATTATGAGTTTGGCATGGTTAACTTACCTGATTGTGGATTTAAAACTCACTGCTAGACTTTTTATGTTGTTGGCTGATATGTTTGTATTGGTAGTGTTACTGGTAGGATTTTACAAGTAAATTTATACATTCAGGATTGTTTGTATGGGGATCATTGTGATTGTAATTACCAAGTAGGGTAAATTATAAGTG